GTCGTCCATCAGGAACATCTGTCAGGAAATTACAAACGCAGCTTCCATCAACATTATTTCCAGACAAGGCTCCGTACGTACAAATGAGCGCTCGAACCTTTCCCACTCGTTCTGCCTTTCAGATAATAAGAAGTGGGAACAACTGCACGGAAAGGTGAAGGTCTGGAAACTCACTTCCGACGGCCGACCTCCTGAGCATTTTTCCGCCTCTGTTGAGCCGTGTCACTGATATCCTGCGGGCTGGCTGGAACTCCCTCTCTGTGGACCTCGGCTTTGGCCTCCTTCCCAGACGAGGGGAGCGGTGCCCTCACCAGGTGATTGCTGATCAGGTCGTAGGCCGTCAGACCGTCAGACCTGGCTGTTATGGCGTTGGTGGTGGTTTTAATTGAGCTGCTCTGATGCTTCACCTCCTCACAGCTGGAGGAGCGGAGCCTGGAGGGCTGGAGGAGTTGAACGGGCCGCAGGGGTTCTCCTGACACCGGGTCAGTCAGGGCCGTCCCTCGGCTCCAGTCCTCGGCTGACAGCTGGACTGTCCTGCCGCCTGGTGCAGACACCAGGTCACGGTCCACTTCAGGGTCGGGTCTCTCCAGGGAACTGTTATTTGAACATGTTTCTGTGGCTGCAGCGCAAATTTGAGTCATTTCATCATCATAAAGGTCAAAGTTCAATTGGAGCGGTTGTGACACGTGGTTGACAAACCAGTCCTCTGCTACCGAGGAAGAAGAGCTGCTGTTCGTCGTCTGCTGGACCACTGAGGCGTCACCGCCCGCTCCTACAGGTGGAGCGCTGTCACTGCGTCTATCCACTTCTTCAGAACAGGAACTGGTCTGAAGAAGACTGGATGGTGAGACTGAGTTCTCAGCCGGAGGGTCAGGGGCCCGCTGACAGCCGTACAGGGAAACCAGCATGGACTCCAGTGCTGAGAGCACGGCCTCCTACAGGTCAGAGAGAGAATGACAAACAAAGTTACTATTTTATTGACTAGCTTTTCAATGTGTATCGGCAAAATTCTGGCGCTTAAGATACATATCACATATATAAAATCTGGCGATTAAGATACATATCACATATACAAAATCTGGCGATTAAGATACATATCACGATACAGAGGCAATGCTGTTCCATCTAAACATCAGGTTACTAACACTGGAACAGAGGGATCTACATTTGGAATCAGAAGTTTCGATTAATGGAATTAGCTACTAATATTTGAATCAGTTTTTCGTGGGCCTACCTTATTTTGAAGTAGAACCTGTGTTTTGTCTGGTGTCAAGTTCACGTCGACTGAAGAAGCCGGAACTGTCATCTTCAGCACCAGTGTTGGATATCGGTTTTGGACCACGTCATCAGGATACTGAGCGCTGTAGTGCTGACGCAGGAGCTGAGGAAAATGAAGAGAAAGAAAAGTGTTGTATATATAAAGACCGTCGTCGCTCTGAAGGGCACAGCGTTAACGGGTCAGAACTGGTCTTACCCTCAGGACTTCTTTATGGTGGACGGGCCGATTGTTGACGAATATGAAACTTCTGTCAGGGCTGGATGAACTTGTTGAAGAAACGTCGGCTCCGGCCTTTGGGAAGAGACCTTCTAAAGAAATCTGTGGGGTAAAAAAAGTAGACAACTGAGAATGTAGTCAGACTCTGACTACACCTACAAAATACACAGATACACACATGGTTTTTGGAGTGGGGTCACCGAGCCCTGTGATTGGTCACTCATAGTTTGGATTGAAATAAATAGATATACATCGATGAATGGATGGATGGATGGATGGATGAATGGATGGTTGATTGATAAAAAAAATCCATACGGTGCTGTATATAATAATAATAATAACAACAACAACAACAACAGCAGCAGATAGTGACAGGTCAACACGTTGCCTCCTGTCCAACATATTCTTCTTTGTACATTTCCATCACATATATTTCAGGACCCTTCACCCTAAAAACCACAGCAGTTCTCACAGCTTTCTCCAAAAGCCGATGACTCAACAAACCTGAAACTGAACCTTTAAAAAAAAAAAAAAAAATCATTACGAGCATAGAGATTTTTTTTTTCCTGCCACACGGCCCCCGGGCTCATTATTAATTGCACCATATGCCAATGGAGTTAATAAATGCACCGCTGTTTCAGGTCAGGTCACATGTGCTTCTCTCTACCCCTGCTCATTACGGTCACTTTATGGGAACACGAACGGCACCGTAGGCCCCACAGAGCTGTGAAGTCATGCTGCCAAAATCCAGTGTCACATTTTGTTCTGCAGAGAACAAGATCAAATCCTGACTCATCCTTGCAGCGTTCTACCAGATTGGATTAAAAAAAAAAAACTTCTGACATGACAAGGCAGAAAATGACAGATAAAAGTTATCAGTTTACAGTTAGCGTGGCTGAGTGAAGCTAACAAATATTATCCATTCTTGGTGAGAAAACAGCTCAGAGCAAGAGCTGGGAGTTCAGAACTAACAAAAAATAATTTTCACTAATAACAACAATAATAATAATAATAATAATATAAGGACATGACATACCATCATCCAGGATGAATATGAAAACATTTTTTTAAAAATAGTGGTGCACAGCGAATGTAAACACAGCCTTTAATTTGTGCACAATAGTGGTGCACAGCGAATGTAAACACAGCTTATAATTTGTGCACAGTTCCGCACATTTACAGGTTTCAACCAATCAAAACAATGAAACAGCGTCAACATTTTGAGAGTTCTTCCTGCAGTTTCCTCTCCACTAACCTGATCCTGGTGATAGTGACAGGGCAGCAGGTCGGTGACAGAACTGGGCCCCAGCGCAGCATGGAGGGCACTTCTGAGATCGGCCACTTTGGGCTTCTGCCAAACCACCACCTGTAACGATATGTCACCAGTGAAGCCCCTCTGGTCCAGCCATCAGGTAAATCCCACCACATTAACACCCATGAAGATAGAAACTGGGCCACCAGTGGGTCAGAGGAGCCGGACCTCGGACAGTGGGTATCGGTTGATCAAGTGACTCGGCAAAAAAACTTAGGTCGGAAAACCCAGTTAACGTCAACACTGACACAAATATTATTTTGTTTAAACGTTTTCGCCTTCCTACTGTGTCAAACATATGGGCGGCGGACCAAAACCAGCCTGTTAGTGGATCAATCTGGCCCACTTGATGAATTTTGAATTTTCCCTGAGTAATAAACTAACACATTGAAGATAATGATAATAATAATAATAATGCTGATGATTCTCAGAAAAAAAAGTAAATCCAAATATTATTCCGTTCTCAGCTTCCTACTGAGATTCTGTATGTCTAAGAAATACATCATTTATATTCGGTAAAATATGCAGCTTTTTCATAAAGTTTGAATAAAGGCCAAAATAATAATGGATTAAATAAATAACATCTGAATAATTCAGCTCCAAAGTATGTTGACAGCCACGAGCGGTCTTGTAATTTGTGTCTGCCGGTGAATATATCTCCTGGGTGTTGATTTCTGAAAGCATGCACCCCGCTGCAGAGCATGTGTCAGCTATTGAACACACAATCTGGCACATGTAAACGGATCACTCCTGTAAACAGTTCCTGAAGAAGCTGTGAAACACGACACAAGCCAAATAGCAGAGTTGGAGATAGAGGATAGGGGCCAGCGAGTGCTGACGGCGTAAAAAAGGCTTAATTTCTCTACGAAGACAACCTCCAAAAGTGACTTCTATGAAATGTATATATACAGCCGGGAATTATTCCACCGGGGGCAGCAGCAGCGTTAGCAGCAGCAGCAGCAGCAGCAGCAGCAGCAGTGATCATGCTTTTATACTGGACATTGGTCAGTAATCCTAAGTTGTGGTTCTTATAGTGGGCAATGTATAAAAAAATAAAAAATAAAATCAGTCAAATGCTGAGGAAATACACTGCAGGTCATTGTTATGTAATGTAAACAACAAATTAAACTGTAGTCATCGGCAAGTTTTTTCATGAAGGACAAAAGTTAAAGAAAAATATTCTGAAAAATTCTAAAATTATGAATATAAAATTTAATTTAAAAAAATGTAAAAATCGCGAATCATATCGTGTGTCCTTACAGCATACATGAGGATACATACGGGAATTCAGATGATTAATTAGAATTAACTATATTCGCCATCACAGTAAAAGTCAGCATTAAATGCTGTTTTTCTTTTGTAAAGTAAACTTTTCTAATTCAAAATCCTCCGATTGTTCTAATGACCAACGGTCGGTGACGCTGTAACAACGCAGTAAAACAAGAGAGAACGCCAGCGCGTTCCCGCCTTCAGTCCTTTAAAGACAATGGCGACATCTAGTGTTGGTTGTGAGAATAACTATAACGTATACCACATGCTCTTTCCTATAGGGATCAGTGTTAAATAATAACTCCTTGGTTGTGAGAATAACTATAATGTATATATATAATAACTCAATTCTCACGAACTCTTTAAAACTCCTCATTGGTTCTGGTTTTATGGCAACCACGGAGAAACGACTTCTTAGTTGACTGATGAGAATTTAATCAACTATTTTACTGCTTTACAATTTTAACCAGGCATCAGGTTAAAATCAGGTCAGCACTTATTGTCACATCATATATTGGCCTGATTAGATGCCAGTGGACTGGACTAGTAGAATAATAGCAAAATTACATATAAATAAAAATAAATCCATGTTTCCCCCTTTGTTTTACTGCAAATAAATTGTAAAATTGTATTGCAAAACATTCATATATGGTTAAATTTTTTTTTCACTTTCACAATTCATCATGTGGGCCAGAATGATCCCCCGAGCGAGGCCGGTTTTGCCCCACGTGGCCGTATGTTTGACACCCCTGCTTTAGAATAAAACATGAAACAACATCCCTTGTTTCAAGTCACTTAGTTCAGCTAAAGGAGATAAAAGATTCTGACCTTGTTGTGGACCAGGGTTAGCCTGAGCTCAGGTTTTATTATTGCATAAGCCATGAGCAGGTCTTGTATTTTCTTCAGCTCCTCTTTGCACTTCCTGGTAGAGGAATAGTACTGCCTTCTGACTGGAAGGTTCTTAAAAAGCTTTGTGACAGACACTGTTGTTCCTGAAAAAAATTTAAAAAAAACAATACAGTGCAGTAGAATATTAATATCGCGAAACATTTTGTTTTATTTTAAGAAAACGAGTACTGATTAAATCACAGTCTTACCTTGACCTAAGTGGGACGGCTTCTGAGAAACGATCTCCCCCGTGAAGTTCAGCGTGTACTGGATGCTGACATCATCCGTCACTGTTTTGGTTGTGACAGCCACCTATAGACAAGGAGGAGAATATGTCATAAACATGTCTAAAGGTTCAGTAGATGTTCAGATAATATCGGTCGACAGATATTGTAAAAAAGCTAAAATAAGACATCCCTAAAAATACACTTTGTATTAATCAAAAATATGTCCATCACATTCATGTGCATTTGCTTGTTTTCTTTTTTCTATCAGCAGCTACAGTCGTTCACACCCGTCACCTCGGCAACAGCACAGATGGAGCCCAGGGCTTCTCCTCTGAAGCCGTACGTTTCCAGATGCTCCAAGTCTTCATGGCTGCTGATCTTCGACGTGTAATGTCTCACAGCCATCACAGAAGTGTCCGCAGCTTTGATTCCTTGGCCGTTGTCACGAACCTCGATGCGGTCCAGACCATAATTATCCTGCCACAGATAGGTCAAAATATGTTGGTAAACAAGCAGCACAGAACGACAACTACACTAGAAATAACATTAATATTATTGGGTTTTCTTTAGAATTTGTGTCACTGATTCACTGTACCAGTTTAACGTCAATACTGGACGCCCCGGCATCCAGGGAGTTTTCCAACAGTTCTTTCATAACGTTGACCACTGACGTGATGACCTGGGAGCTCGACAGCAGCCGCACAGTGTCGGCGGGCAACTGCTTCATGGTGTCAGGTATCTGTTAAAAAACAAAAGTCTTAAATGTTGACAAATGCATTCATGGAACATGGTATGTGATGTTACTGTAGACCATTAGATGTGAGGATGCAGTACTGAAAGTACTGGCGAGGGGGCGTGGTCAAATAAGAAGATGATTGTGAAGTATCATTTTACACACGTAACAGTTTTGGCCAATAACTGAAACAATAGTGCTAAAATTTCGATTTGTTATTTTTGTAAAAAAAAACAAAAACGTTTTCGTATGTCAAAATAAAACATTTAAGTTTCCTGTTTTTTTTTAAGACTGTGGTTAGAATGCAAAGAAAAAGTTTCCTGTTTTTTTAAAGACTGTGGTTAGAATGCAAATTCTTAAGGCCCTGTGGGAATATAATGTAAAACATATGAAACTTACGAAGGACATTTAGTTTTGCCAACGATATTGTAATTAATTTGCAACAAATTGCGGATTATATTAATAAAACAAACGATGTTGAATTGTTCATTTAAACTTCAGAATACAGTAATTGAACGAACTTGTAGTGTAAGTCAGGGTTATACGTAATTTAATGAAATAATTAGCTAATGGTGGAACTTATTTCTTTGGTCTGTCAGACATAAACAAGCTATTTAAAGTGCAGGAACATTATCTTACCTGGATTTAAATTAGAACTTTAGTTACCCATCTCAAAACGTAACAAGTTTTTGTTTATTGCTCGTAGATAGCTCACGAAGTCTGCCCCGCGTGTTAGAGCTTGTTTGAGAATGAAAACACTAACGTTAGTATCCCCTCACAGACTCTTATTTTACCCAGCATGCACTGACACGCAACAGAAACATCCTGGTTGACGTCGATTCCGACTCGCTCATTGGCTAGACGCATCACGGTGGCGGGTTCCTTAACACGCGTGAGTTATTGTAGCCCTGAAGGAGGGCTTACAGGTACAAGACCGACGTTAGACCAGGAGCTGCCAATGTTTAAATGATTTGACTTAAAAACAAACAACAACAACAAAAAAAAACCAAAGTGTAATATATCCAGGGCAGATACATAGATTTTTCATTTCTTACTTTATTTTTTAAAACAAATATAAACGTATAACGATTTTTTATTCATTTTAACTCATGTACAGTATGTTATAGCGCTCCGTGTTCTCGTCATAATTCATCCCTAAAAAATGTACAGTATTAATATCAAAACTCAAGACTTTATTTCCTTACATTGACAACTTTATCCGCGTCTATTAACGATTACTAGATCAGTTTTTACCCGTTCACAGAAAACATCAAAACTTTAGCGAAAACCAGTTGAAATAATTGACGCTGATTAAGAGATTTTGAATTTTTTTTCTCGATAAATCGGTGTTGTTAATATTAATGATTCCTTTCCGGTTGTCATAGAGCCTTATCACCCCCCGCCCCCTCCGCGTCTATTAACGATTACTAGATCAGCTTTTACCCGTTCACAGAAAACATCAAATTTTTAACAAAACTTTAGCGAAAACCAGTTGAAATTATTGAGACTGATTAAGAGATTTTGTTTTTTTTTCTCGATAAATCGGTATTGTTAATATTAATGATTCCTTTCCGTTTGTCTTAGAGCCTTATCACCCCCCTCCCTCGTATGCAGTTGTGTATTATGTCCACCAGATGGCAGTATAATGCCAGTCAGTGCCGCTGTCAGGTATGTGTAATACTGCAGCAGTGGAAGTGGACAAGTCCACTCCGTAGTCTGTGTGTTGGGTTTATAAAGCACAGCTACGTGGAGACAACAACATCTCTGCTCCAACAAAGCAGAAATTCCGAATTGTTTTGGCAATAACGAGACTTGTTTTCCCTCAGAGGATTATTTGGGAATCGGACGTGGATCCATGCACTGAATAAACATCCCTGCATCCGTGGGCAACTTAAAGCGGATTTTCTGTCTTTTTACTCTGATCTGATCAGTTACGTTGAAGTTAAGGTCGCTGTTAATGGTGAGTCTGAGCGGAGCTGTGGAGAAGGAGGAGAAGGAGGAGGAAGATACACCGACCGCAGCGCTCCATGTCTGGACTGTCACCGACTGAACAACCGGCTGTTTCCTTATGATATGAAATATTTGGGTGTTTTCTGCTCCAGTCTGATGAAGGTTTGTACAGCTGCTCTGAATCACTGCTGTCTGTCTCTGTTTCCCCCGGAGCGGAAAGCTCCCGTCATGTCGAAATTAAATATTTATTGTTTGTTAAAAATTATTAAGCTGTCTGCTGGGAGGCTACGGCAGTGGAAAAGGTCAATGGAAATGAATCAATTTCGAAAATAAAGTCATCAGTTTTTATATAAAGGACAAATATGAGAATTAGATAGGGATGTCCGATATTAACTTTTTTGCCGATATTGATGTCCGATATCAACAAATACAGCGGGGGAGTGGTGGCCTGGGGGTTCAGGAAGTTAAGTGCCGCCTGCTCACTAAGGTGTTGGGTTAAAGAAGTGTATGAGTTGTTGGCACACAATCCCCTGATTATTAAAATAGATTAATAAAATGAGCTGCAATGCTGCCATCTAGTGACGTTTACTTTCATATACAGCCGTTTTTCAGGTATAAAGTCTCTGTCGTTGACTGAATCTGTCTCCTGTCCTTCTGTCCTCAGCTGATGAGATGAACTTTTTCACTGCTGCCGGTCCAACACCAGCATGAGGTTCTCAGACGGTTCTCCTTCCACACTTTTACTCCCATGACACCTACTCACCCGGGATGTGTGGGTCACAGATCTGACCCAAGGCTGCACCTGTACTGACCCAGACCAATGCGTCCAAACCCAGAGCATGGGGTGTGTTAAATCCAAAACAGGCAACCCTGGTGGTCAAAATGCAAACTCCACACAGAAGAAGGATGGCAGGTGCAGGAGGCGGGGAGAGAACGCCGTCTTGGTCCAGTCTGAGGTGGGCGTGGCCGCCCACAGCTGCCCCCAGGTCAACCCAGTGCTGCTGGACTACGCCCACAAACTGTCAGAGGAGATCGTGGCCCGCGCTGTACAGCAGTGGGCAGAGGTGGACCATCGCTACAGTGACATTCCCTACATCGAGTGTGACGTGCCGTGACAGGCGGATGTGATAGAACTGGTCCAGGATGTTTGGATTCATCAGGAATATTGATGAGAGCTGCCTTTAATCAGGCTTTGAAACACCCTGAGATTGGACTGAAATCTAGGGATTGAATAATATGGTTTGTACAGATAAATAAATAAATATAACTGGGGGAGAGGGGGGGGGGTCATGGCAGACAGTAACTGAGAAACACTTAACTTTCTTAACCCGGAGGACCACAACTGCCCCGATTTATCGGCTGATATCGGAAATCAGGTGCTTGGACAATATCGGCAAAGCGTTAATATCGGACATCCTTACTGAAATCTAATTTCTGATGTGACCAAAGCGCTCAAAACTCGTCTGTTTCCCGTTGGTGTCTGCTCTCGGTTCGTAACGTTGGTGTAAAAGTTGAGTGTGCTGTGACATCAGAGACATTTCTGTTCGTCAGTGAACATCCATCATGACCTGTGAATCTTTGTTCTGCTGTGGATGAGAGAATTTTTTTGCCTGTCTTCCTTTTGGCAGAGAGAACAGATCCACACCCAGCAGACCGGCTCTCACCGCGGTCCCACTAAAAGCTCTTACTTCCTGCAGTTGGGCTGTGATGGTCTCCCTGGAGACCCAGCAGCGAAACCGCACCAGGCCTCAGAGCATCAGCTCCGTTTGCCTCGTGGCCATTAGGCAGCAGTGACCAAAGCCCTGCTTCGTTTTACACTGCCATTATTTTTGGACGTGGACCGCGGACAGGAAGTCTTTGACCGGAGCATCTCAACTTCCTTAAGGTCCGGTTAACCGGAGCGTCAAGCACAGGAGACATTTACTCTACACACGATACGATACGATTCACGGTTTTTGTTCACAATTTTTTTTCAGGCTAACTTTGCCCTTTGTTTTCAGAGTGTGTTGCAGGAATGTATTTATAGATTTATGTTAAAGAAATAAATTTGACTTTGTCCAAAAAAAAACTCTTCAGTACCAAAACGTCGTCTTCTGCAGTGCTTCTCTGCGCTGAGATCAACTCTGAATGGTCATGTAGCCCGTCAGTACCAAAACGTCGTCTTCTGCAGTACTTCTCTGCGCTGATATCAACTCTGGTGTGAATGTGAGCGTGAATGGTCATGTAGCCCTGTGACTAAACACAGACTCAGTCAGCTGTGTGGTCAGTGGTCTCATAGTGTAGCGGTCATCTCGACTGCTTTGCACACAGAGAGTCCTGTGTTTGATTCCCAAAGGAACCACATACACCTAATGGCGCCTCCTGTGGCAGCCTGTTGCAAAAAACTGTAAATTCTGTATTTTGGGACAAATATAATTAATTACATAATCATGATATCAAAGTTGACCAACCAGTTCCTTCAGAATGACCTCGCACAACAACAACAACAACAGGAAACTTCAGTTGTATTGATTATAACTCCACAAATATCCCACAAACCAAAGCTTTTTTCTTCTTCCTGTGGCGTCACCAGAGCTCCATTACAGACGCAGATGACTTCTCAAAATGATTAAAAAGCATCTGGGGCCCCGCCCCCCCGCCGCGCCCCGCGCGCCCCCAGCCGCAGCAGCAGCAGCAGCTGTGGTGGTGCTTTCGGGCTCATCAGTAAATTACATGCTGTATTATGTGCAGTCAGAGTACTTTAGGTTATTAATCACCCATCCACCCACCCCGCCCCAATGTTAGTGCTTGAACCAACATTTGTGAACAAAGTCTGACTCCAGCAGTTACACTCGTACCGCTGTAGTACTGCTGTAGTACCGCTGTAGTACCGCCGTCTGATGTCACCCTCATAAATAATGCACGAAATGAAAAACTGTTTGGAAAATGATAACGTTCCTTGAAAAGCGCTCAGAACCCAAGTCCACATCAGACTGATGTGACATCAACACTGACGGTACCAGATACACAACCCGACCCGATAAAAGTGGGACAGATGAGAGTCAACGTCTCTGCTGCACACGGACAAATCTCACGTTAACAAACGTTAGAAACACTTCTTCCCATGTCACGTTACAACACACATATGAATTTGTTGGATATTTTATTAAGTTTTTTCTTCCAATTTGAGGGCATTTCAAGAAAACATCACATAGCAGCATTAGCTTAGCAGCTCCAAGACGAAATAAATAAAAAATAAATTCATATTTCAGAAACACTTGAACACATCAGTGACCATTACTCACCTTTTTTTCTTCCAATTTGAGCATAAATTTCAAGAAAATGTCAAATCGTTAAATCAGTTCTTCATTTATTTATTTATTTCTGTACTACTACTGGCTTCAAAGACATGATTACAGTTCATCTAAATAAACTAGTTCAAATCAAACAATTATAATAATTCATGTTAGTACAGTGGTTCTTTAACAGCTGTTTTAAAAAGAACTGGACATTAATTCCACTGTTATTTAGTGTTTTTATTTTTCACAGCTAAATTGTTTTTTCCCCTCTGCAGCTTATCTGCATCTCTATAAATATGAGTGTGCGTCCAACAATAAACCTTCAGACAACCATGATATGATCACGGTGCCTGACCTTTGCATAGAGGTCAGTTCATGACCTGCTGACCTCACCGAGAACGTCAGACAGTTAAAAAGTCAGAAAAATGAAACTGCAAAAAATAGAAAGGACTGAAACTCTAGGTCTGAACTTTTCTTCTTCGTTCCATGATTCAGAGTAAAACAAAAGTCCAGACATCAGACAGGATTCAGGAGGACCAAACGGGGACATCAGGACAGGTGGACAGACAGGGACATCAGAAGGTCAGGTCCTTGTCTCCTAACGATGTGAAACACTGGTCCACACTTTGTTTGGACACTTCCTCTAGAGACGACGGGCTCCACCTGGGATTCTGGTCCCTGTCAACCAAAACTGGAGACACAGACAGGATGTGACATCACAGAGGATCTGGTTACAGGAAGTGATCTGATCTAAGCTCTGATCTAAGACAGGCTGCAGCTGGAGTTAGCACTTCACATGTGTTGACCTTTCCAGGAACGAGATGTTCAGAACTAACACAGGAAATGAAAACAACCCCCGACAGGATGAGGTTCGATTCCCAGCCAGCGTCTGTCGGTGGTTCCCAAAGTTGGGAGCAGGCCCCGTTGCAGCACGGTATATTTATTTTTATTGTAATATTTTCTGTGCCACAGAGACTTGACTTGTCCACACTGCAGTGACTCACCTGCTCTGACGCCTTCGTAGAAGTCACTGCCCCTCTGAGAAACAGAAGACACCGTGGAGGACACTCAGACTTCAGCACCAATAAAAATCAAGCTGATGAATGAAGGTGTTTATGACCAGGTTGGACTCGTTCTTACCAGGCAGGCCTGGACGAGGCGGTACTCCATCACCAACACCTGCTGCAGGGTCAGGGACGCCCCCAACTGCAGCTGCCTGAAGGTCATCTTCAGAGACGTGGGAGACATTTTGGACAGTGTCTGGAGGACGAGACACAGGGAGGTGAAAAGAGAGTGAAGACCCTGCAGTTCTTCAGCTACGAGTCAAAAAGAGTCGGTGTGTATGGTGTAAGGTCAGCGACCTTTACACCATGAGACGATGATTTCTGACTTGTGATGTAACGAAACCCTTTAACTCACGGTAGAATTCACAACTGTTTTTTTCACAATATGATTTTATCACGATTTTTTAAAACCAAATCCAATATGAAACACTGTTGGTGTCTGTGGAACAAGTTCTGTTTCAACACCTGGATGTCAGGTATGACAACATACCTCGGCCTGTTTGACCGCAAACTCCGAACCGTCGGCCTTCAGGTTCTGGACGATTCCCTCCACACTGCTGGAGCTGAACAGTCTGGAAGGAGGAAACAGGAAAAGAGGAACAGGTTCTGGTTCGTAGTCAGGTTCTTCACACCAGTACAAACAACAACAACAACAAAAAGACAGAACCCTGATCAGATCAGTGGACATTTGTCCTCACCTACCTGTCAATATCAGACATGTGTTTGTCCAGGACAAAAGGCTTCTCAGCATCCAGCGAACTCTGTGAAGACGACACAAACATTATGGACAAGTGGACGTCTCTGAACCTGGAAGACAACGCTGGACAGATCTGAGCAGCTCTCAGGTCATCGTACGTGGAGAGACCCGTTCTAACCTGTCTCTGGTAGACGTCCAGCACTCGGCCGACATCTTCAGCAGAAGGAGACTTCAAGTCCACCAGCTCCTTCTCCAGGTCTGGGATCTGTGGACCAGCAGATGGACATCAGCTACGACAGGGTCAGTGGACAGCAGACAGAGATAAAAATGTCTGACTGTGGACATTCTGTCTTCTACCTTCTCAGACTCTACAAAGTGAGTGGCGACTCCAGCTCTCTGCACGTCACGTCCCTTCAGACGGAACCCGGTCAAAGCCAGGAACAGACCCAACCTGCCACGCAGCCGGGGCAGGAAGTAGCCCCCGCCCACGTCAGGGAACAGACCTGTCCACAGAGCAGAGACGAGGACAGAGTTGGACTGAATCTTTATGATGTTCTTTATGAAGACTGACGAGACTGAGAGACACTGGGAGACACTGGGCTTCCCCTGGACCTGAGTCCTGGACCTGAGTCCTGGACCTGGACCTGAGTCCTGGACCTGGACCTGAGTCCTGGACCTGGACCTGAGTCCTGGACCTGGACCTGAGTCCTGGGGTGACACTGTCAGGGCAGTTGATCAGATTTAGGGCTGAAAAAATAAATATCATAAATGCGTTGGATTAACGTTGTTGTTTGGGAGACTCAGAGGGTCCGGGGTTAATCTGCTAATCCCCCACAGCAGAAGAGGTTAGTGGTGACGCAGGAGTGTGTGTTTGTCGGGGGATTGGGTGTGTGTGTGTGGGTGGGTCCAGTGAAGTGACAGTCAGAACAAAAACATTTGGTTTTTTTTAATCTACAAAAAAAAATCTTTTTGTTTTTCAGAGTTTTTCTCCTGATCCTGCGTCTGATTCTGACTGCACTGATCTGAGGTCTGATCTGATAATCCGACCGCGGTCACGTGACTTCAGACACGTTGCTGTCGTGATGTCGCGCTCTGTGACTGGTTGTAGAGATTTGTGGTTAATCTGCTGAGAGCCCTGGGAGACGACCATCTGTCTGCAGGAACCAATTAGCTGAAGAGCAGGAGACTGGGACGCCACTTAGTGTCTCCTCCAAGTACAACATCACACACTGTAGTACTGCAGTACTCACTCATGTATCAGATCAGATTAGCTCAGTTGACATGTCGTTTCACCTGGAAATGTTTTTATTTTATTTAAACAAAAATTGTGTTTCTGTTAAAAAAATGGAGTAACCTGAGGTTCCCAACTACAGGGCCCCGGACCAGGACCAGGCCATGGTTCATTTGGTCCAAGACGGCAGAGAAAAAAAAAAAGATATATCACATGTTTTCAAGATCTTTAAATAGTCTCTATGAAATGAAATCCCTACAAAATAAAAGTCTTTTAAGCTGATAAAGATCAAGATAAAAATGACAAAATTAGGAGTGTACGATATTAACTTTTTGCCGATATCGTCACGTATCTCACCTATGGCGGTTTCCGGCATGGCAAAGAGCGTTTTCTCCGTGGCCACTCGAAATCGTCCGTGAACTGACAAACCGACTCCCTGGGTGAGGAGAGAACATGGTCAGGGAGAAAACCCGAGAACGGCAGACACGTTCTCAAAGGAGGAGAGGAACGAGGAAGAGGAGCAGAAAGGAGGTCAGAGCTGAGGGGTGAGAAAAAATAAAAATGGAGCCGGGCTGAAGCTGCTGCAGTGACAACAGGGTTCTGAGGTAGAACAGAGACAGAACCGGTCACAGTCAGAACCTGACCTGAACAACCCACAGACCTAAAGACCACAGACCGTATATAAAAGATAGAATATTTGTTGTACAGTAAAGCAGGTCAGGGTGTAAAACCACTGCTGTCCTGCAGGGGCAGACTCCAAAAAAAAAAAAACACCTGGGTTCCATAACCTACAATACTACACTACAGAGAGTCTGATGGAGTACTGCAGTCTGCTCATACTACTGCAGTCTTTTTTTAAACATGTTTTTATTTATTGAGTTTGAATTTTTATTATTTAATTAATAATTATTGTTAAATTAAGTTATTTCTGTTCATAATTTAACTTTAATATTTATTTTCACAGGCTGAAACTGTTTTAATTTACAGTAATTCTCTGGGTGCGTCTAGAAAATACTGACAAATCAGTGCCATTACTGCCACCTTGTGGTTTTCATCCAGAAGTGTTTCAACCACTTACAATGATGATAAACCCGAGTTCGACAACATCTCTGACAGAACGACAAAGAAACATTTAGTTCCCGTCGAACGATCTCTGAGAACTCATTACACAGTGACGTCACTGTTCCCTCAGACTAATAAAAAACACTTAAAGTCAACCAGAGGCCGAGAGCAGAGGAGCAGGGACTGAGATCAAACCATCACAGAGACGGTGAGAAGAACCAGACCACTGTGGGGGGGGGGGGGGGGGGGGCTTCTTAGAGAGAGAGAGAACCCTAAACACAAGACCACGTGATGACATGAGGAGAGAGAGAGAGGAGACAGCTGTATTTCGTCAAAACTTCAGTACTTTGGCTCAGGTCAGAGGGACTCAGTGAGTTTATTCTCCCCCACTTCCTCTCGCTCTCCCCCCTTCTCTCACCCGCTCCATATTTAAAAAAAAAACAAATGGAAAAAAGTAGAAGAATTTGTTTAAAAATAGAATACTTCAAAAGTACTGTAAAAAAAAAAACATCTCGGTGCAAATACTGTAGGTTTGTATTGATCTATCGTACGGTGAAGTGACAGTATTTGCAGTAGAGTAGTGTATACAGTAGTAAATATTACTGCTGGTTTCCTCTGTGAGTCCAATGATAATAAAGACATAATAAAACACAGAAGTGTCTCCATAAAAGTCCTGGAACTCAACAGTACCAGGCACCATATAAGAGCACGTCTTCACTGGAAACACCAGAGACGTCACAGTGTTTACAGTTCCTGCTCCTCGACAGAATTTATTAGACCTGAGGAAGAGGAACAGACCAGGAACTCAGACCCTGGATTAAACACACGGTGCATGTAGTACTGTGTGTACTGTGTACTGTATGGAATACAGTACACATCTGACAGGTGAGGTCAGATCCATTACAGCCGTGTTAACTCTGTGTCTGTGGCCTGGGTGCGGGTTTGAATCCCACACTAGCTCTGTGGTGGGATTTTAAACAGCCAAAAAAAAAAAAAGTAAACATCATTAAATTCAGTGAAGAAGATTAAAAATAATCAGGGATGTCCAATATTGTCCAAACACTTAATTTCTGATTCCGATATCAACCAATACTGATATAGCGGTGGTTAAGGCCTGAACCCCCCAAACTGAAATACTAATAAGGGGCCTGGTAATAATTATTTATTTATCAGTACAAACCACTGTAGGAGTTGCTGGCACCAGCGTTTTGCATACAGTCCCCTGATTATTAAAATAGAATAATAAAATGACCTGCAATGCTGCCATCTAGTGACTTTCACTTTCACATACAGCCACTTTTCCCCAAAACTGTTTTTAGGTCAAACATAATTTGGCGAAACTGAGGCATTAGCCACTTTTCCCCAAAACTGTTTTTAGAATCGATAAATCGATAACGATTCTATTTCACATACAGCCACTTTTCCCCAAAATTGTTTTGGCAGATAATATCGATTGGTCAATAATGCTAATATCGGGCAGATAATATCGATTGGTCAATATAATCGGACATCCCTAAAAGTAACTCATAACTCACCCCTCCCATTGTTATTCCATCAATAAGGGCAACATATGGTTTACTGCAAGATCCTGGAGAAGACGGAAAACAAAAGTATGAAAACGATGAGAAAATGACGGAACGATTACTGAGATTAAAGCTGGGATTAAAAAGAAATCGTTTCATCTGTTTCACCTAATCTCTCATCTTACCTATAGCGTTGTTGAGGATGTATTCTTCACGGAAAAAGTTCTGGGCCAGAGGATCGCCCGTCTTTCCAGCTTCTGTCACCGCTGATGGAAGAAAAACAAACAAAGACAAAAAATTAAACTGTTGCCGTTCAATTCAATTCTAAAATATCCGTTGTCCAATGAGCTGCTGAGTTTGAGTTTCTCCAGCTGCAGTGTCTGAAAACCTGATTTGAAAAATGCACCTTCAAAATAATTTAATGAATGGCGCCCCCTGCTGTTACAGCTCACCCCTGATGTCTCCTCCAGCGCAGAAGGCTTTTCCACCTGCTCCTTTGATGATGATGATGTCGGTTTCTTCGTCCTTTTCCCATTTCTGACGGGAGACACAAACAAAGCGGGATTATTTACAGGAACAAAACTACGTAAAAAATGTATGTTTCTGTTGCGCACCTGGAATTGATAACAATTTGGAACGGTTGGAATACAAAATTAATAGTAGGCTGCAATATCTCAAAAATCACTGGTCATACCACGGTGGAATACAAAATTAATAGTAGGCTGCAGTATCTCAAAAATAACTGGTCATACCACGACACTACACTACAGTACAGCAGGTGGCGGTATGGTGAGTTGAGTGTATCATTACATCCCGACTGACATCACGATTTTCCTCTGACACACCTGGATCTGAGGAAAGATCTGACGAATCATGGTCAGGTTGAGGGCGTTGAGGACTTTAGGTCGGTTCAGAGTGATGACTCCGGCTCTGTTGACCCTCTCCAGTGAGACCTCCGCCTCCACGTGACTGGACATCTGACAGGTGAAAATGGTACAGAGACGTTCATACCTCAGCCAGACACAAGATGGCGCCATGATGACACTTAGGTTCAAGTTTAACAACATGAATAAGGTCGGTCCAGATTTATTTTCTTTAAGGAGTTAATTCATGCAGGAAAGAACCAATAACAGGGGTGGGGGGGCTCGACGATGGGCGTGGCAGAGTTCTCACCATGTGTCCTTGGATATTCCGCAATCTGCACAGACAACGTAGTCTGGAAAAAAAAATGAAAGCCAAAATTTCAAACTTCATTGAGCAGAGAGTGTCTGAAAATATTTGAAAAATATTGAAAAGTTGCACCTCGTAAAGTACTGCTGTAAATACTAAACATATCACATTATATTGCAATATATCGTATCGTTGTCCTGTATCGTGATACATATCGTATGTCAAGATTCTTGCCAATACACAGCCCTAATAAATATTACTAATCAGATTATTAACGTATTTAGAAATGAATCTCGTCTGTGTTCGT